ATATGCATTATTATGTGCCAATATGGTATTGATACTATCTTGCTGCTTGAAAATTTACTTATACAATCTTTTTGCAGAGAATCGTATTCATATCAATCTTAAATCCATCTTGATTGGAAATGGTCTATTAAACGCTCTCGTGCAACATGAATATTTATCCAAAATGGCCTGTGATTCATCTTATGGACCAGTATTAAATAATTCTGCATGTAGTCAGATGAGAGGAGATTATATTCAATGTGCCAAATTGACTGAAATATGTTATGATTCAAAAAATGTAACAGATTGCGTAACTGCTGAAAATTGTTTTTATGGAATATTCCAACTTTATAAAACTTCTAATAGAAGTATGTATGATATAAGAAAGCATTGTGATGATGATTTGTGTTATCCAGAACTCCAAGATATTGAGAAATATTCTAATCGTGAAGATGTTAAAACTGCATTGGGTGCTAATCCTTCGTTGGTCTTTCATGTTCGTAAAGCCGATGTTGGCATTAACTTCTATAATTCTGGCGATTGGTAAGCAATATAAATTAATCAATTAGTGTAATTAGTTTAAATTGATCTAATTTTTCGTTAAAACATTTAATATACATATACACATATATATTTAATTAGGATACTTCCCTTTGACATATATGTTTCATCGCTCTTGGAAAGCAATGTTCGAGTATTAATCTACGCTGGTAATTTTATAAATAATTCGGGGTTTTTTAAAAAAAAAATTATATTTATCATAAAATTATTTTTATAGGCGATGCTGACCTTAGATGTAATTGGTTTGGTAAGCACTTTATTACTAAATTTATACAATAGATTTTTTTATAAAAATGTCTTGAAGAAATTTCACGTAACTCTCTTAAGTGAAGCGATCTACTTCATTAATAAGATTTTATTATATCAGAAGTTATAATAGACTAACTCCAAGCTTTAATATATCGAAATTTAATTAATAATAATATTTTATCTAGGTCTTGACGCATGGACAAAAGCGCTTAAATGGAGTGGCACAAAAGGTTTTAATAATGCTAATGTTACTCGTTGGGTAACGGTTACTGGTACTCATTCTGGAGATGTTAGAACATTTAAAGAACTTACATTTCTGAGAATTTTTGGATCAGGGCATTATGTACCTCATGATCAGCCAATTGCAAGTTTAGATTTCTTTAATAAATGGATATTCAATAAATATTTGTAAACATTTTTTGGCACTGATTAAACAGCGCAAACTCTGGTTTAATATTTTTTATTTTGTTCATGGTTCATTTGTTTATCAAAAGTGATTTACTAAGAAACTGGAATTAAAAACTTAGTATTTTAATTTAATCTCTTTTACTATTTAATTTTAAAAAATTACTACATATTACCAGTTATATACATAGACTAAAATTTAAAATACCTATAACATTTCTGTTCCTGGGAGATATTAGCAGAATGCGAATTAGATATCAATATATCGAATAGTTGGTACATATTTCTACTTATTAGAAGAATATGGATTTCAATAGGCCTATTAGATATTTAATACTTCGACTATAAAGTAATGAATATTTAATAGAGTTATTAAAACCAATATTCTTTCAATCAGTGTTGTTATTGGACATGTCTAATTAGACGTGTCCAATTGGACATGGCTAATTGGACATAAGGCTAAAAGGGCTAATAAATTTGGATTGGACTTTATAAGTCCAATTAGCCTTAATATATTAAAAAAAGTTTTTAATAAATGAGATCACAAAAAATTAGCATAATATAGATAACTAGCATTATTCTAATAATATCAATATATTATAAACTATAAAATTGAGATATTTTATCTGTTATTGCAATTTGGTTAAATATTTCAAATTTAATAACCTGATCATTAACCTTTTATATGCTACTATATAGATTCTTATATGTTTTGTAATACAAAAACAAACAACAAAACTAATACAATTTATTCTTTATCAAAATCATGAATCATTCTTTGATAAAATATAAAATACTATTTGTAGTTGTAATTAAATCAAAAAATTTATTCTATATAGCTGATTTAATTCTATTCTATTCTGAATAATTAGTAAGAATCTTTAGTTCTCTTTATAATAAAATTATCATCTATCTTGAATTATCAATAAGTAGCTGTGTGACACTATCATAATCAGAAATAGATGAATATAAAATTTAGAAAATGTTAGACAATACCAATATAGAATAGTTATATAGTTTTGAATTTAGATAAATAAATATCAGATATCTAACAGTATAACTATATCAATATATATGAGATGCTATAATTTAAGCAAGAAAGAAATCTTATAAGATTTTAAAATGTATAAAGTATAGAGTATAAATACCTCTTTGAAAATATATCATATTAATCTACTATAATTTTTAATGCTAACCTAATAATATAATATCAGAAAAGATATTAAAATAAAGATCTATTTTTACTAATCTGGTTATGCTAATATGCATAATTTAGAAATGTTTATAGTAGATAATAATTATATATACCAATGTAAATAAGAAGCTAGATAAGATGTAAACTGCTAATATTAAATACTTAAACCAATTAGATCAATAAATAATTGCTAAACTTAGAAACTAGGATTGCTCTCAATATAATTATTTAGCACCAAGAGAGTATATAATTACTACAATTCTGCTATAATTTTGCCAAAAATTCATAATACAAATACAGATAATAAAATTTTAGTTAATCAGAACAAGTCTATGACAAAAAGGTGTTTTAATTTTTTTTCATTGCAATAATAAATCTACTTTCCAGTTAAAACTACTTTCTACAAATTAAAAATATATTATATATTATTGATTATGAAAATATTTATTAAGTTAGATATACATATAGTCAATTAGCCCTAGCCCTCATGTCTAATTGGACATATAGCTAATTGGTTAAATAGACATGTAGACAACAACTAAAGTTAATTAGCCACTTGTCCAATTAGCTATATGTCCAATTAGATATGAGGGCTAGGGCTAATAATTTTTATTAGACTTAAGGCTAGTAACAATACTGCTTTCAATAGATTATACTTAATATATTGATATTTAATATTCTGCTAATATTTTTTAAAATTGTTATAAATTTAATTGGCATAAAATAAATAGCAATAAATACAAATATAATACAATACTAAGCTTTAAGATCTATATAATAAGTAATAGCTACAATTTTGCTTAAAATATAGATTATTTATAATAATAATATATAACAGATTGGCTTGAAATATTGCATATATAAATTTTGTATAGATTACTTTTTAGATTATTAAATTAAAGTTTTATAAAACAAATATTTAAGATTACTAATTTAGAAGTTATATATATAAACAAATAATATAAAAATATAAATTAGCTAAATATATATATAGTACAAATTTTAATATAAAGCTATTTAAATATAGCAATAAGATTAATTTTTAGTTTTAATTATTTTTTAAACTATTACTAGTTAGCTAGCAAATTTGGCTACTAAAATATTAAAATTATATATTTAATCTATTTTTGTTATTAAAATTTAAAAGTTTAATACTTACTAGTAGTAAATTTTACTAGCCCAATCAGAATTAAAGATTAGGTATAATATGTAAATCAATTTTATATAATAAAAATAAAAAATTTTTAAAAAATTGCTAATAACTTAAAATTTAATATATGAAATTAGCTTTGATGCTCTAATAAAAAATTTTTTTGTAAAATTTTACTATAAATTATACCCTTATCCTGACTTAGTTTTTAATTTAGCTTTAATACTAAATTAATTTATAAAAATTATTTGATTTAATTATATATAGACAATCACTGGTAAAATTCACCACTAGTAAATTCTAAATAAATCCTAAAATTTAAAATAATTAAAAAAATTTATATAATAATATATAAAAATAAAAATTATAAAATAGTAATATTTATTTTTAAATTATAAAAATTTTTATAATATTGATAGTTAGATTCTATAGCTTAGTATTTTAAGTATCTATTTCGCAGTCAAGATTTCTGGTTCAAGTTTTAATAAAGCAGTTTCTAGAAATATTTAAATACAAAACTTTACAAAAGTTCAAGTAAAATATAAATTTGGTTTAAGAATTTTCAAAGAAGATCTATTATAAAGAAAAAAAATATTATATATAATAATAGTATTACAAAAGATTCTACTGCAAAAAGATTGTATAAGTAAATTTTCAAGCAGCAAGATAGTATCAATACCATATTGGCACATAATAATGCATAT